CTGTATACCTAAAATGTACCAATAAACTCAATGAGAAAAAATAAATAAATACAATTTAAAAAAAACAATACTCATAAAGAATCCTTCCTCATCTTTAGTTATATGATTAAGCAGAGTTAGCTTCTTTTATATATTCTTATATTCTTAATATTTTATATTCTTATATACATATATTACATCATGCATTTTTCCAAGTCACTGTTTTGACCTGCTCTTCTGTTTTTCAGCATTTATATTGCTCTCCAGAGCTAACCAAGCATGTATCAGATTTTCCAGATCCTTTACAATACATATACATTCATTTTAGCTACATTGATTTCGTGCTCATAAGCTGAATTATCTTTGTGTTTATATTTAGGTTGTTTTAATGAACATTTTTGAAATATTACTGTCCATTCTAACCTTATCCCTGTGTCTTTGGAATGCTACACTTGCAGTTTAAATAGCTAAATAAATCTTTATTCGTTATTTAAGGTTTATCCTTGAAGCCATCTTGTCTATTTCATTCTACTGTATAACTATTCCTAACAACCAGGTATATACATTTTTCTCTGTGAGTTATAGTTATCATGTATTATTTAACACCTGGTTATGTTACTTCCTGAGTACCCTTAACTTGTGTTATGCGTGTGAACTTATTAGTATTAATCTACAGTAATGATATTATTTTAATTCAGTGTGAGGTGCAGTCTCTGATCCATGTTACAGACATTTAGCACTGTACAGTGAGAAAGATAAGTGAAAACCAATATTCTCGAGTCAGGGTCTGAAACTACTAAGGTGTGAAGTTTCATTCAGATCTATAAAACGATCCATCTAAATCTCAAGGATATTTTTCTAAAAATGTTCTCAGTCTGGTATTTTGGGTGAATTCACTTATTAATATTTCAAAATTTTAATGTAAGAATAAAATAATGTAGAATCAAGAGAAAAATGTAAGTAGTACATAAAATCGAGGTAATTTAATGAATACCATTTAATGGTTTCTGTACTGACATGTAATCAGTTGGTGTGCTTTTTGAAAGCTTTCTTCTAATCAGATGCATACTTTTTCTTTGATTACATATTGTCATTGTATTGATTTCCACAGCAGAGTGTTATTTACATAACTAACTGGGCCTGGAATCGTCTCAGATCAGGTCTGGCACGTATCATGTCTAATTACTACTCTTCTCCCTGAATGCAATCCACTCTAAGAAAGAGCTACAGTTTATTTTGCCCTTCATGGCACCGCTGGAACTTGCTGTCGCTCCTACTACATTGTGTAACTTTTCAGCACATTGAGTGAGCGTGCAAGAAAATGGAGGGCCTGAGAAGCAGCCAGACTCGGCGGACAGCAGATAAGTGTGTTGGAGATGCAGTCTGTTCTTCTGGATCATCTCTTATATCATCTGCCAGGCAAGAAAGATTGTTGTTTGTTTGACCTTTAGTGTGATAGAATCATCCACTGGCTGAGTGACTGCTGTTTTTTACAAACAAAACGCTTTGTTGACCTAGTATGGCTTTTCATCGTTGCTGCTCTTTTTCAGTCTAAAGTAATCTGTTACATGAGACTGGTAAATTCAAACTTATTAATTTATAAATTAAGGAATCTTAAGTAGACAGACTAAGGAATATTGTGTTGTACAGTAATTATCCTTTCTAGTTAAAAATGACTTGGCCTCTCTAGTTAGGACATTACTGCTAGATTATACTATGCATGTATTTTTAGAAGTAATCATGTAAAATAAATGTATAGTTGTTTGCTCTTCCTTGTCTTACTGACCATGTGTCACCATACCACTCATGGACAGCAAATGCGTGACATTAGCGCTCGCTGATGTGATTTGAGGACTGTAGCATTTGTGATGTAATATTGAGAAGCCACGGGACCCTGAGAAGACTCAGCACCCACAGGATCGCTGCACATGTGCAGTTCTGCCAGCGGCTACTATGCAGTTACATACAGTGCCATTTATATAACTCCTGCAGTGTTTATTTACATGTGGCCTTCCAGCTTCCAGTTATAGATGAGCCTTTGCTTGTCCTTCCTCCTGGTACCTAGAGTTCCTTTACTGTTGCACTAGCTTCTACCTCTTATCACTTACTCAAAGATGTTGCTCCAGAAATCGACCTCATCTCCCACCTTCTCTTCATCACGAGGCCCCACTTTACTTCAGTAACACAAAGGCACACTGGACTGTTATTTCTCCCTCCTTAACACTAAAGTACAACTTAGTTTCACCCAGCTTTACCTGCAGCTGTTGTTCTATTTCGTTGCTTCCTGTTGTAGCCAAAGTACACAAACCAGTTGTATATA